TTATTTTATGTACATTCATTATAAGCTTAGTGAACAAAGAGAGAGAACATAAGCACAAAGCTTAAATGCCTCACAATTAACTTTAAAAGTCAGAGGCCTGGTTGTTGAATTCTGCAGGGTGAGATGGTGGCAGGTGAGAAAGAGATGGAGGAGGAATGGAGGGACACAGTGGGGTGGTTCTGTGAGGCCCAGACTGAGCTGGACCCTGACCAGCAGTATGAGTGGTAGGGATGGAGGTGCAGAGCCAGTCCATTCTCCAAAACAAGGACCCTGAGGAGGAGAAAAGAGCTGCACATCTAAGATCCTCCTCAGGAGAGGAACCCGAAGGAGGACGGATCAGTTTCTGAAATTCTAAAAAAAAAAAAAGTGAGAGTATTAGTACAATTTTGATGGCTCACAGTGTGCTAGCAAACTGATTCTGGATCATCCTGCATACTATCCTCTAATTCAGGGACAAAACATTTAGTGAAGGGTGATGAGTGGTCATAAGTAAGAAGAGCCTCCAGTTGCATAAATATCATGTATTTTTTTTTAAACCTGAACACATATTTGCGTAGTTTTAGAAACTAGATCTGGATTCAGATTTGCAATTTATGCTAACATACCAGTAAATCCTAGAGAAGAAGTTCTATAGAGTCTAGATTCAAGTTCAGCAGCAGCTGGGGGAAAAAATGAAAAAGCCAGAGAAAAACAATTATATTCTTAGAATTCAATACTTTATATTTCACTGAAAGTCAATAAGAAAACAATCTCTGAACTTGAATAGTTTTAATTAACGAAATATATATACAGGCACAGAACAAAATATAGTTCTCCATTAAATATAACTAGGCCATGCTTACACATTGAGTGATTTATTATAGAGGCCAAGGTATCAGGGCTGCTGTTTTTCTCATTTGCTATTTTCTTCATTCATTTACTCAACAAATATTTACTGAAGGAATATTGTGTGCTAGGCACTGGAATTATGATGACCAAGACACATCCTCTCCTTAACAATCTTATCCTTTAACCTGGGAAATGGTTAAATAAACAGCAATTTCCATACAGCGTGACATGGCCCTGACAGGTATAAAGATGGGGCACTTTGGGAGCACAAAGGGGAGGCACTTCTCTGAGTCTTTCTCAGTCAGTACTAGCCACCATCCTGGTGGTAATATGAGGTTGACTGCTGAAGGACAAGTGAAAGGTGTACAAAATAGAGGGAAGAAGCACGTGCCAAGAGCTAGAGGAGAACACGTGTGGAACTGTAAGTGGTCTAGTTTGAGTGGAGATTGAAAAATGTCAGTTGTCAGCCATACTATTCTTGACTGTCATTTGGGCTATGGGTAATCGCTTGACTAAATGTCACTAGACAGCAGTGTCTTCCTTGGCCTCGTATCATAATGTAAACATGGCGAGTTGGTGGTGTCTCATATTTTCAGAGAATAGTCTCAGTGTAGTTTCATAGCTCCATAGGGAAGACAGAAGGAAAAGATGAGTAGCGCCAGAAATAGAAAGGCATATATAGTGACTTTTTTTTGTTTTGAGATTTTAAAAGCTCTGAAAAACCATGAATAAATAAGGAATAATTATACTTTTAAAAATGCATTAATGTATTTCATTAGATGTGCATCTTAGTCATCTAGTGCTGCTATAACAGAAACACAAGTGGATGGTTTTAATGAAGAGAAGTTTATTTCCTCACAGTTAAAGTAGGCTAAAAGTCTAAATTCAGGGTGTCAGCTCCAAGGGAAGGCTTTCTCTCTCCCGACCTTCTCATCAGCGTTCCCCCAGACAAGGAGCTTCTCTGCGCAGGGACCCCAGTCCAAAGGACGCGCTCTACTCCTGGCACTGCTTTCTTGATGGTATGAGGTCCCCCTGTCTCACTGCTCACTTCTGTCTTTTATATCTCAAGAGATTGCCTCAGGACACAATCCAGTCTTGTAGATCCAGTCTTGCCTTACTAACACAACTGCCACTCATCCTCCCTCATTAACATCACAGAGGCAGGATTTACAACATATAGTAAAATCACAAAGTACCAGGAATCATGGCCCAGCCAAACTGATATACACATTTTTTGGGGGACCTCATACCATCAAGAAAGCAGTGCTGGGAGCAGAGCGCGTCCTTTGGACCGGGGTCCCTGTGCAGAGAAGCTCCTAGTCCAAGGGAACACTGAAGAGAAGAAGGCCGACCGAGAGAAAAAGCTTTTTCCTGGAGCTGATGCCCTGAATTTGGACTTTTAGCCTACTTTAACTGTGAGGAAATAAACTTCTCTTCGTTAAAACCATCCACTTCTGGTGTTTCTGTTATAGCAGCACTAGATGACTAAGACAATGTGTATGACAAAATATTAATAACATTGTATCTGTTATTCAAACAAAACAGGTACCATTTGTTGCTTAGTTTATTTCAGAAATCAAAGATATTTAAATCTACTTCACTTACTTCATATATTTGTCAATATACCATCTTTTTTTTCAATTCCTGCTCCTTCTGAAATAATAGTCAAATATTGTTTCATTCTTAAGAGATAATAAAGTAGGAATGATTAGTTTAAAAACCATCATAGGATTTGGAATTCAGGAGGTTCCATCTCAGACCCATACTTGGAAATGATATCTTCCTTAATTTCAAGAAATTTATATCCAATAATGACTTTTTCTCTAAGAAAGTCTACAATGAAAAGAGGCAGTGAGAAAAGCTTCATGATCTTGGAAAAGATTGGTCATAAAAACTTTTCTGAAAAAAAAAAACAAACAAAAGGTGAGACACTGCAGTTGGGGGAGGAGGGTTTCTTGATCCATTTTTAACATTAAGAGAGAAATCCTGATGATGCTGTTTACGATGGTTGGTGTCTTAGACTAATAACAAGAGTTTTTTAATCAAATTTAAACGCAATTCACACCGAATTTATAGCCTTTTGTATGGACTTTAACTTCGTATTTCATTGCACTCTTTATCGATCTTTGAGAAGGCGTTAGCGTATAAAGAGCATGGACTGCTTAACGAGATTGACCTAGATGGAAAACCCTGTCTTGCCGCTTGTCAGCTGTGGGATCTTGGCTAAATCATTTAATTTCCCTGTGCCATCTTTTTTTTTTTTTTTTTTAATGCCTAAAACGGGAATACTAATTTCTAACACGGGGTTGTTGTACATTTAAATGAAATAAGTATCTAAAGTGTCTGGTAATGCTAGACCTTCAAATGAATTAAGATTAAGCAAACAGGTTAGTGATCTTTAATAGTAAATTAAACTTTGGACTCTACTGTAAGGGTAGATACCTTTTCCTGTTTTAAGACACATCTATTTAGTTTTTTTTTGACTGGACAGGAGGGGTTTGGCTTTCGGTTATGTCATGGATTGAAATGTGTCCCCCAAAAATATGTGTATCAATTTGGCTTGGCCATGATTCCCAGTATTGTGTGATTGTCCACCATTCTGTCATCTGATGTGATCTTCCTCTGTGTTGTGAATCCTATCACTGTGATGTGAATGAGATGGATTAGCGGCAGTTATGTTGATAAGATCTGCAAGATTAGTGTATCTTAAGCCAGTCTCTTTTGAGATATAAAAGAGAAGCAAGCAGAGAGGCAGGGGGACCTCATACCATCAAGAAAGCAGCACCGGGAGCAGAGGACGTCCTTTGGACCTGGGGTTCCTGTGCAGAGAAGCTCCTCGACCAGGGGAAGATTGATGACAAGGGCCTTCCTCTAGAGGTACAGAGAAAGAAAGCCTTCCCCTGGGGCTGATGCCCTCAATTTGGACTTGTAGCCTACTAGACTGTCAAAGAATAAATTTCTCCTTGTTGAAGCCACTCACTTGTGGTATTTCTGTTATACAGCACTAGACGACTAAGATAGGTTATTTACTTTTTTGGTTTTTAGTTAACTAAATATTACATTTTAATTATTTTTAAAAAGTCCATTAAATAGCCACATAGTGCCATCACTTTACTCGACCTTGTCGAATTTTCTGGGTCTTAAAAAAAAAAAAAAAAACCCAAACCCGTCTATCCCGACTCATAGCAACTCTGTATGACAGAGTAGAACTGCCCCATAGAGTTTCCAAGGAGCAGCTGGTGGATTTGAACTGCCAACCATTTTGGTTAGCATCTGAGTTCCTAACCACTGGGCCACTCTGGGCCTCAGGTAACAACGCAAGGGCGGCTCGGGGCGGGGGCAGGGGAATCAGGCAGGTGGTCACGGTAAGGTAAAAGGGATTTGTTAGATGTTAAGTGCACTTGCTAAGGCTAGGATGTCGCGGTCAGCTGGGAAAGGGGGGGACGGGTCAGTGGGTGGCACACCCAAATGCAGTTTGTCAACCACATCTGGGGCTAGTTTCACTTATACACGTTGGGGGGTGACCACGTGGCGATCCTGTTGATGATTCCAGCGAGCTAACGCTGGTATACTTGTCAGTCTGTCTACTGCGATGATTTGCCGTGTTGCTGTGATGCTGGAAGCTGTGCCAGGAGTCTTTCAAATACCAGCAGGGTCACCCATGGTGGACAGGTTCCAGCGGAGCTTCCAGGCTAAGACGGACTGGGAAGAAAATCAGCCAGTGAAAACCGTATGGGTAGCAGCGGAACATTGTCTGATATATTGCTGGACTGGGCAGCATTTCGTTCTGTTGTACATAAGGTCCATAGGGTCTCAACCACTCTGGCTTTACGGTTTACACAGCGCTTTGACGAGTTTTGTCGCCATCCTCCTACCCCCCCCCCAGGCGAGGCTACCAGGGATTGGTAAACGGTACTCTGCCCTTATACTTCTGGAAGTAGGCCTCGCTCCTCCGAGAGTAGCTGAACGCCGTCGGCACGCCCGCGCCCCAGGCGGGGCCTCCGGGTCGCCTAACTCTGCGCGCAGCCACAGTTGCGGAGCACTTCCCCCGTCGCTGCCAGTCCCTAACCGGCTGCGTCAGGAGGTCGAACAGCGATGGCCGACGGAAACGGGCACCGCCTCCGCCGGCTCTACGTCATTTGCCTGCGACGGCGCCTCCGCGGGATACCATGCTAACGGCCGGGCGCAGCTGTCCCCTCCTGCTGCGGATGCAGCACCTTCGGAAGCCATCGGAGTCCGGGCCCCTTTCAATCCTGGGTGGCCTTGGGCGAGAACCTTTCGGAGGAGTCCAATCACTATACTTTGAGTCCTCCTCTAGAGACGTGCGGAATGGAGAAGGAGAGCACGAGGTGGTGAGGCGGGATGCTCCGCGCGCAGCGTCGCCTCCAGCTCTTTCTCGGCGCCCGGGCATTGTGATCCGATGTCTTTCGTCAGTGGAGAGTCTCAGACCGCTGGCGTCGCGAGAGGTGTCAGCCCGTCGGGAGCGCGAGGACTCAAACGGAGCCCAGGGCCAGTTCCATCCCGCACACAGGGGACCCGGGGATCACTTCGACCCCGCCCTGGACAGGTTCGCTACCGAGGTCGAAGAGTTTCCCGACTCCTCCTCCTGCTCAACTTCCAGGGAGGGCCCCTTTCGGTCTGGGGAGCTGATTTTAGCGGAGACTGGCAAGAGACAAACACAATTTAAAAAATTATTTAGATTGAGCAGCGTCGGACATTTAAATAGTAACTGGGGATTAGTCCCGTTCAGCGAGATCGTGGGGAAGTTCCCCGGCCAGATGCTGAAGAGTTCCTCCGGTAAGCACTTCATGCTGAGGAGGCCGGCGTTGGAAGACTATGTATTATTGATGAAAAGAGGGCCTTGCATATCATATCCAAAGGTAATACGACAGGGTTTAGGTGCGTATTGGTTCCAGAAGGAGCAAAGACAGAATAGGGAGGTCTGCTGTATTGGATACAGCCTTGGTGAAAACTGGCTCAGTCTTACAGTCCTGATGAAACTCAAAAAGCACGCCTCAGAACATTTATATTTTTTTCTTGTTTTAAGCCTGTTTTTTTGTTTTTATCAATGGATACCTTATGATGAAAGTTACCTTGTTGCTAATTTTAGGAAGAAGCACACAGATTTTAATTCAAAAAAGTTTACCCTAGTATTTAAGACTTACTGGGTATGACTGACATACTAAACTGTGGCTGTCGAGTCGATTCCGACTCATAGTGACCATATACGACAGGGTAGAACTGCCCCATAGGGTTTCCAAGGAGCGGCTGGTAGATTCCAACTGCTGACCTTAACCACTGCGTCACGAGGGCTCCAGACTGACATACTACCTTGGCCTAATTTCATTTCTATTAATCCATGCTTCTTCCCATTTAATGCTTCTCACTTAAGTAATTCTTGATTACGTGACCTTGGGCAAATTACTGAGCCTCTTTGATTGCTCATCTTTAAAATAAGGGTAATGAAACTTATCTCACATTCTGATTAAACAAGATAATGTATGAAAGTAGTTGGCACAATTATGGAAGCATGGCACATAGAAGAGTTTCAGTAAACAGCTCTTATTCTCATCCGTGATATTTCTATTAACAAGATAATTCTTCAGTTATAGTATTTGGCAAATGGATCCTCCTGTCTAGTCCTAGTATTTTAATTCTAAATTAGAAGTTCATCATTTCATTTTGAGATTATGTAATAACTTCCTAACTAGTATTCCTGTTTCTAATTTTTCTCTACCCTAGTGCATTTTGTATTCCCCTGCCAAATTAATCTTCCTCAGATGCCATTTGTATCACCTCAGTGACATGGCCCAGATGCTTACCAGGTCAAGTTCAAATGCTTCGACTGACATTCAGGTCTCTCCTTACTTCCCCTCCTGAGATGGAAAAACTGTATTTATTCTGTCTTTGCTTTGTTTAAAGTTGTTTCTACCTTGTGATTATTACCTTAAACTCTTCATGCCTTTAAGATAGGGCAGTCTGCTGAGCTCATCCTTCTCTGAGCTCCTATTGTACTTATTGTCTATCATTTCAGCATTGTATTGAAGTGCTGCCTTATTTGCTAATTGATTGTTGAATCTCTCTTATTTTATCAACCAAAATACAAACTTTTTGTAGGCAGGACCAAAGTCTGATCCTGTTTTTCACTCCCTTCCTGTCCATATCCAGCATAGTATCAGGTACAGAGTAAGTGCTTAGTACATATTTATTGGTTACTGAGTCACCCATACTGTGTTTCAATCATAGGATATGAATATGATGCTGCTTATGATGAATATCAACCCAGGTGATACTGTTTTAGAAGTTGGTTCAGGCTCTGGTGGAATGAGCTTATTTTTATCCAAAGCAGGTAAGAGATTGGGATAAGTGAGCTGGATTTAGAGGGCAAAGAAAATACTCAATATGTTCCTAATAACAGAAAGTTAAAATACATAAAAATATTTGGGAAAATATTCATATAACTTTGTGATTGCCTTAAAACCAAATGTAAGCAACTATTTTTCCTCCCTTTCTGTACATTCGTTCCAGTTCCTCTGTTTCTATCCCTCACTCCATTTTCTTTGCTTTCTAATGCTCCCTCCACACTTTCTAATGCTTCTACCTTTTTTATTAAGTAAACTTTTTACTGAAGCATAACATACCTACAATAAAGTACACAGATCATAAGTATATACCTCGATGAATTTTTATATAGTGAGCACACTCATGTGGTTATTACCCAGATCAAGATGGGGAATGGTGCCCCACAGAAGCCTCCCTCATGCTCCCTCCCAATCCCTGTCCCCAACATAGGTAACCCCTATCCTGATTTTTATTACCATTGATTAGGTTACCCATTGTAGAACCTCATATAAATGGAATCATACAGTACATACCCTTTTGATTCTGGCTACTTTCATTCAAGGAGCCCTGGTGGTGCAATGGTTAAGTGCTCGACTGCTAACAGAAAAGTCAGTGGTTTGAACCATTAGCAGCTCCTTGAGAGAAAAGACCTGGTGATCTGCTCCCATAAAGATTACAGCCTAGGAAACTCTATGGGGCAGTTCTACTGTGTCATATAGGGTTGCTATGAGTCGGAATCGGTTTGATGGCACACAACACACATGCACACTTTCATTCAACATTATGTTTGTGAGATTCATGCGTTGTATGCAGCAGTAGTTCTTTCATTTTAGTTGCTGGGTGGTATTTCAAGTAAATTCCATTCCAATCTATTTATCCATTCTACTGTTGGTGGACATTTGAGTTGAATATTATGAATAGTGCTCCTTTGAACATTCTTGTACTTTTGGTGCACACGTGCTAGTTTTTGTGGAGTATATACCTAGGAATGAAATTGCTGGGCCATAAGGCATATGTTTTCTCAGCTATAGTAGATACTGCTAAATAGTTTTCCAAAGAGATTATACCAATTTACACTTCCATTTGCAGTGTATAAGATTTCCAGTTGTTCTGCATCCTCACCAACACTTGGTATCATCAGTTTGTATTATTTGTATTATTAATATAGTTTTACTTTTTATTATGGAGAAATTCAGACTTACATAATAGTATACAGAATTGAATGAAGTCTCATGTTCCCATTACCCAGACCCAACAACCATAACCCATGGCCATTTCTGCAGCCCCCTGTGTAATTTAACATGTTCCTTTGTCCTTTCTATTGACTGTAAATTGGTGACTGAATCTAGAGCAGGTTTTGGAAAACTTTTTCAGTAAAGGGCCATATAGAAAAAATTTTAGGCTTTGCAGGCCATGTGATCTCTGTTGCAACTACTCAGCTCTGCTGTTACAGTGCAAAAGCAGCCATAGAAAATACATAAATGAATGAACTTGACCGTATCCAATAAAACTTTATTTACAAAAACAGACAGCGGGCCAGATTTGGCCTGCGGACCATAGTTTGATGACCCCTGATCTAAAAGTTTAATAAGGTTTAGGTTGTCTTTTTTTTTCCCCAAGATTGCGTCATAGGAAATGTTGTGTTCTTCCAAAAAGAGGCACATGTTTGGTTGTTTCTCTTGGTGGTGTTAGATTTTTTAATTTTAGCCAGTCTGTGGTTGTATCTTTGTATGGTTTTAATTTGCATTTCCTTGATGACTGATAATGATGTTGAATACCCTTTTATTGGCCTTTTGATATCGTCTTCTATGAAGTGCCTGTTCAGGTTTTTCTTGTTTTTTAATTGTACATTAGGTGAAAGTTTACAGAACAAATTACTTTCCCATTTGATAGTTTGTACATAAGGTGTTCCATGACATTGGTTTCTTTCCCCCACAATGTGTCAGCACTCTCACCATTTCCATCCTACATTCCCATTTCCTTTTGTCCTGGTTTTCTACCCCTTCCTGCCTTCTCATTTTTGCTTTTGGGCAGATGCTGCCCTTTAATCTCATATAATTGATTGTTCTAAGGAGCATGTTCCTCTTGGGTGTTATGCTTATTTTTTCTCCAGGAATGGCTTCAGTTCCAGGTCAGAAGGGTGTCTTAGGGCCATAGTCTCGGGGTTCCTCCAGTCTCTGTCAGACCAATAGGTCTGGTCTTTTTTGAGAATTTGATTTTTTGTTCTGCAGTTTTTCTCCCGCTCTGTCCGAGACCCTCTGTTGTGATCCCTGTCAGAGTGGTTGGTAGTGGTAGCTGGGCATCATCTAGTTCTTCTGGTCTTGGGGTCATGTAGGCTATAGTTCATGTGGTCCATTAGTCCTTTGGACTGATTGCTCCCTTGGGTCTTTGGTTTTCTTAATTCTTCTTTGCTTTGGATGTAGGAGACCAATAGTTGTATCTTAGAGCCTGTTCAGGTTTTTCACCCATTTTTTAAATTGATATGTAGTAGTTCTTTATATATTCTGGTTATGAGTCATTTGTTAGAGATATGTGTACCTCTTTGTGGCTTGCCTTTTTACTGACTTAATGGTCTTTTGATGGTCATATGTTCTTAATTTTAATGAAGTCAATTTATCAATCTTTTCCTTTATGGTTAGTGCATTTTTTTTTTTTATTGTACTGTAAGTGAAGGTTTACAGAACAAATAGTTTCTCATTAAACAGTCAGTACACATATTGTTTTATGACATTGGTTAACAACCCTATGACATGTCAACACTCTCCCTTCTTGACTTTTTTTTTTTTTTGGTGAAAATATACATAGCCAAAGATACACCATTTCAAAAATTTCTACATGCAGAATTCAGTGACATTGATTATGTTCTTCCAGTTGTGCTGCCATTCGCGCTTTAGATGGTTTACAGAACAAAATAGTTTCTCATTAAAGTTAGTACACATGTTGCCCTATGACAATGGTTAACAACCCCACTACATGTCAACACTGTCCTTATTCAACCTTGGGTTCCCTGTCACCATCTTTCCTGTCCCTTTCTGCCTTCTAGTCCTTGTCCCTGGACTGCTGTGCCTCATTAGTCCCATTTTGTTTTATGGGGCTGACCAATCCCCGGCTGAACAGTGAACCTCGGCAGTGACTTCACCACTGAGCTAAAAGGGTATCTGGGGGCCATACTCTCGGGATTTCTCCAGTCTCTTTCAGGCCAGTAAATCTGGTCTTTTCTGTGTGTGTTAGAATTTTGTTCTACATCCTTCTCCAGCTCTGTCCAGGACCCTCTGTTGTGATCCTGGTCAGAGCAGTCAGTGGTGGTAGCAGGGTACCATCTAGCTTTACTGGACTCAGTCTGGTGTGGTTGGCGTATTTTGTGAACTAATTAAGAAATCTTTATCTACTCCAAGGTCATGAAGATATTTTCTTATATTATCTTCTAAAAAGTTTGCTTTACCTTTCACATTTAAGTCTACAGTCCACCTGGAACTGATTTTGGCAAACAGGATGAGGTAGCAGTCACGATTTCATTTTTTCTTTATGACGAACCGGTTGGCTCAGAACAATTTATTGCAAAAGCCATTCTTTTCTCACTGCACTTAGTGTCACTCTTGTCAAAAATCAAATGATCATATATGTATGGGTTTGTTTCTAGTCACTTGTTTTTTAATTGTGCAAATACCAATAAGTCTTGACATCTGGTAATTTAATTTCCTCAACTTTGTTATTTTTCTTTAAGATTGTCATGCTATTCTTGACCCTTTGCATGTCCATATAAATTATTAATCCATAAAATTAAACTTACTGAGATTTTGTTTGGGATTACATTTAATCTGTAGCTCAATTTAGGTAAAATTGATACCTTAATATTATTGAGTTTTGAGATCCATGAACATGGTATACCGCTCCACTTTGTGTAGTTCTTTCATTTCTCTCAATAATGTTTCATAGTTTTCCATGTAGTAGTCTTGTACATTTTTTATTAGGTTTATTACTAGGTATTTGATGTTTTTCTGATGCTGTGGGAGATAGTATAATTTAAAACTTTCACTTTTTGTTTATTGCTGATATATAGAAATACAACTGGTTTTTTATATTGACCTATTATTATTAGCTTACTATAGATTCTTTTTAGGTTTTCTACAATCATGTCATCTGTAAATAATTACCATTTCCAATTCCTAACCCCCCTCATTGTATAGTCTATAACTTCCAGCTCAGTGTTGAAGAGCATGGTGAGATAGAGGGCATCTGTGTCTGATTCCTTTCAGGGTGGGGGGAAAAGGTTTCAATATTTCACCATTAAGTGTAATATTTGCTTGTTCCCTGATTCTACCAAATCCAATATGTGACCACAGTCAAATTCTGCCTATTAAATATCTTGCAAACCTATCTTTTCTCCATCCTCACTCTTAGGCCTTTTGATCATCTTTACTATGTTGCATCCACATACATAATAATAATAAGATGATAACAAATTCTTTAAGTACCAGACACTGTTTTAAGCAGCTCATTCAATCTCATAATAATCCTCAGATCAAAAAAAAAAAAAAAACCAAACCCATTGCTGTTGAGTTGATTCTGACTTGTACCATTATTATCCTGCTTGAATAGCTAAGGGAACAAGGCATGAGTAGTTAAATAATTTGTCCAGAGCCAACAGCTAGTAAGTGACAGAATCAGTGTTTGAACCCAGGAGCTGTGGCTCCAGAAGACATGCTCTTAACCCCTATACTGGACTATTTTTTAGTTTCCTTGCCTCTTGTGTTGCTCTTCTAGGTCATTCTCCAGAGAATGCTCTTTCTAAAATGTAACCTGATATGCTCTTTTGTTACAGCTCTGTAATTGGTCCCCCACTCTCCTTAGAATGAAATCCAGTATTTTTAGCAGGGTACATGGGTGGCTCACCATCTGACCCCAGTCTCATCTCTCATTATTCTTTAGCTCATATTTTATTCTTCACTGATACTGACCGACTTTTAGTCCCCTAAATGCCCCAGGCTCTCTCTTGTTCCCCTGCCTTTGTGTGCCAGGTCTGGAATGCCCTTTCTCATCTCCTGCTTCCCAGCTAACTCCTCAGCCTTCATCTCCTGCCGCACTCGAGGAGCTCCTTCCACCCCTCGTGTTCCTCTCCTACACGCATTACTGTGTCCTGTGCTTATTACTGTGACGCAGTTCTGACACTGTCATGTGTGTTTGTTGACTTGTCCATCTCACTACTGGACTCTGTGCTGTGGGCCCCTAGAGGGCAGGGAATATGCTTTTGATCTCTCCAGTGTTTGGCAGAGTTACTAATTAACGTCTCTTGAATGAAGAGAATGAATCCAAATTTGGGTTTGCTGGATTTAAAAATCAGTCATAAATAAGTGATCTGAGCCACCTGTTTCTGTTCATGTTTGATGACCCACGGAGGGATGTAAACTGGCTGCAGCCTCTCCTCCCCTCTCCAGGGGTCAGGGTTGCTTTGGCATGTCTGGCTGCCTGTGCCGTGTCCCCTTCTTCACCTAACAATAGACTGCCCAGCAGTCACAGCATTCTCTTTGGATAGATTTTATAAAGATTACAGAAAGAAATATAGTGAAATTAAACTTAAACCTTTTGCTCCTTGGCCTATTCCCATCACATATAAACATAATCCAGATTGTACTAGGTTAGTACACTCATTCTGACTCCACAGATCTTTTGCTTGACTCTTCTGTACATAAAGGCAGTCATTTCTTCACAATCTGTGACAAATTCATAAAGGCATGCTTTCACTTAACAATGTGAATTTATAACAGATTGTGAGGCTAGTGTCAGAGGAGTGTCATGACATGAATAATCCCAGCCTATGAGCGGTCAAGAAAGTATTGGTATTTAACTTTGGAATGGAGTCCTGGTGGTACAGTGGTTGAGAGCTACCACTGCTAACCAAAAGGTTGGCAGTTCAAATCCAGCAGGCGCTCCTTGGAAACCCTGTAGGGCAGTTCTGCTCTGTCCTTTGAGGTTGGAATCGACTCAACAGCAACGGGTTTGGTTTTGGTTTTAACTTTCGAATGGATATTTTTTCCTCTGTATTTTTTTTTCTCCAATTGTTTAGCTTATGCTACTATTAACATAATTTTTATCCCTTGAGAACATAATGACTTGCAGCTGGAGTTATATTTCAGAAGACATTCTGGGATTTAAAGTTTTCATTAGTAAAATCAGACTGATTGAGGTGGGACAGCCTCCAAATAGTATCAAATTGCCTCCGATAGAAGAGGGTAGAAGATAAAATGCCTCAAGTTAAAATGCAGCATTCTTTTCTGGAACTGCAGTACTATGCTAAACAGTTTAAAAGTTCTTCTGACACATATAAAAATACAAATAGTTTTTAAATATGTGAAAGACTGAACTCATCCATTGCAAAAGAAATGTGATTAAAACTACAGTGGAACCTGTGAGAACTGGGAACTTGAAGGGGACTGCTGTGTTTTTCTGGGTCTTGCAAGTTTTTTGCCTTTGACAAGGTGCAGTCTTATCACTTTTCTATCGTTTCTTTTAGCGGAAAATATTTTAGTTTTCCTTCTCTGACAGGTTGCCGCCTTTCTCAGGATTACTGTATAATGATTAACTATTCATTTTGGAGTCCTGTTGGTGCAGTGGTGAAGAGTTCAGCTGCTGACCAAAAGGTCGGCAGTTTGAATCTGCCAGGCACCCCGTGGAAACCCTATGGGGCAGTTCTTTTCTAACCTATAGGGTCACTATGAGTCAGAATCAACTCAACGGCAAGGGGTTTGGGAATGGGTTTTGGTATCATTATTAGAGTGATACAGAAGTGTGAATTGGTACCACTTTTTTGGAGGACAATTTGGTAATAATTTTTAAAATAAAAATACTAATACCTCTTCAGCCAGCAATTCCATTTTTAGGACTTTATCCTGTAGATATACTGGCTCATGTGTACAAAAACTTACACATAAGAATTTTCATTATAGTCTTATTTGTAAGACCATAAGACCGGAAACAAGCTGAACGTTCATTGGAAGGTGACTGGTAAATAAACTATAGCATAGTCATATAATGGAATATAATAACTGTTAAAAAGAATGAGGTAAGTCCATAATCACTGAAATGACATTGGTAAGTAAGAAAAGAAGGTACAAGACAATATGTATAATATGCCACAGTTTGTGTTAAGAACATAGGGGGATACTTGCACAGTGGTATAGGTATCTACTATCTTGGGAAGGGTAACTAACTGGTAATATGGCTGCCTCTGAGGAGAGAGATTGGTGTCAGGGATAGGATGGAGACTTTTGTAACCCTGAACTCTTTAAATTATTTTTTCATGTACATGTAATACCCTTGCAAAATGAATGTTTGACACTCTCTTTATAAACTTAGTAATACTATGAAATGTCATAAGTTATTTTTTATTTAATTAAGTTGGATCAAAAGGGAAAGTCATAAGTTTTGAAATAAGAAAAGACCACCATGATCTGGCTAAGAAGAATTACAAACAATGGCGTGATTCGTGGAAAATAAGTCATGTAGAAGAGTGGCCAGACAATGTGGATTTTATTCATAAGGATATTTCAGGAGCAACCAATGACATGAAATCTTTCACGTTTGATGCGGTAAGTTTTCTCACTCAGAGTGGGTCTTACGTTATTAATACTGAGGACACAAAAAACAGGATCAGGGTTCTTTTGTATGGGCAAGGGTCTTCTTTCATTATTTGCCCCATTTCTATCTCTAGGGGTGGGAAGAATATTTTCCTTCAATGCCCCTTACTATCGTGGTGGAATTTGGGGCAGAGAGAAGCACCTAGTCAGGTGCCAAAGTTGTCAATAAATGTGGGGTAGTGACCAGAGACTAAAAGGAGTAGTTGGGCATGATGGACCTCAGTGTTTCCAGGATGGAGGGATGATAATTTGGAAGCAGCATTGGGACCATGTTAAGCCTGACTTCATGTTGTGAGATTTAGGGGAATACATAGCCTCCATTTGAGAGGGAGCAGGAAAGAGGCATCTTTAGACAGTTAAAGTCAGGATGTAGAAGAGTGTTCTTTAAAGATGTTGAGGATAGAGGAGTTTATCATGAACAAAGTTCCAGAAAGTGGAGAAGAAGGATTTGTGAGGAAGAGGAGCAGTGGAAGGTTGAATTAGGGGAGAAGCGGCACACAGTAGTATGAAGATAAAAGTATAGATAACAAGAGAAGATGCTATTTTAACCAAAGATGATGGAGATGTGGGACATGTAGGGACTAGCTGGCTTCAAAGTTTCAGATTCTAGTATAAATTGCCACATCCTTGCTGATGTCATGTAACAGTTCACAGCTTGACACTATAGACGAGGTTTGGGTAAGGAGTCTTTCTTTCCTTAATTGGCTGCTGGAAGGTTGGATTATTATAGGACCTTAATGAAGAAAACTAAGTGAGAAATGAAGCAAAGTTCACAGAAGAGAGAAATGATTTTATCAGGAGTGACTCCCATCTCTGATATAATTAAAGCCTATAGTTTTAGTTGCACAGCTTACTGGACACAAAGGCCACAACTCTTTCTCCTCATCCTTGTTTGGCTTCATATTACAGCTCAGTAAGTGGAAATAGGAATTGCTGTACTTAGGCAATCCACTGGAATGTCAGAAATACCTGGTGAACAACTACCGTAGCCTCCACCAGACTGAGTCCAGTACAGCTAGATGGTGCCCATCTACCACCACTGACTGCTCTGACAGGGATCACAATAGAGGGTCCCGGACAGAGCTGGGGGAAAATGTTGAACAAAATTCTAACTCACAAAAAAAGACCAGACTTACTGGTCTGACAGAGACTGGAGAAACCCTGAGAGTATTGCTCATGGACACCCTTTTAGCTCCCGAGGTTCGCCCTTCAGCCGAAGATTAGACAGGCCTATAAAACAAAATGAGACTAAAGGGGCACAACAGTCCAGGGACAAGGACTAGAAGGCAGAAGGGGACAGGAAAGCTGGTAATAGGGAACCCAAGGTCGAGAACGGAGAGTGTTGACATGTGGGGTTGTTAACCAGTGTCATAGAACAATATGTGTACTGTTTACTGAGAAACTAGTTTGTTCTGTAAACTTTCATCTAAAGTACAATAAATAAATAAGAAAAAGATGTCCCCTCTCACAGCCCCTATTTAACATTTTTCTGGAAGTCATAGCTAATGCAATTAGACAAGAAAAGGAAAAAAAAAAACCTGGTGAGAGAATTCATATAAAGTACATAGAACAGTGCCTGGTACATAATGAGCATTAAATAAATGTTAGCTATTATTTTCATCATCATTATTTCTCTACTTTTCATTTTTCTCCACCTGCTTAAATTCTTTTTCTTCAAAGCTTAGATCACAGGCCATCTCCTTCAAGGAATATCCCTTAATCATCTAGCTGGAGGATTATTATCTTCCTCTGAATTACTGAACCTCTTTGTTTCTTGATTCAACAAACATTAAGAACCTACACTATGTGCCACATACTATGCTAAGTCAGAAATGAATTATACATTTAAAGGAGCTTCCAACCAAGAAAAGAAGATCAGCACAGAAGTTTGGCATATAAGTAGTTATTAGAAAGACTCAGAATTATGAAACACCATGGCCGTAGAACTGGGTGCAGTGAGTAAGCATGAGGAGATGAAGCTGGAAACAGTCATGAGGGACTAGATAGTGAAGAATGTTGTATTATATCAGGTTAGCATATATGAATATTGTAGATAATGGAAAACTATTGAAGAATTTTTAAGTAGGGGAGTAGAATGTCCAGATGCCTGTTTCAGAATAATTCTAGTGGAAGAATGGAGGCTGGAAGTCTCCTTAGAAAGCTGTTGTAATATTTCAGCAAGGTATGATGAGGTCCTGATCTAAGGTAGTGATGGTAGGATGAATCTGAGAAATACTTCTGAGGTAGATTTGTGGGACTGGATCACTTTAATTCAAACAAGTATTAAAACCCCACAGATTCTCAAAAGAGAATTCAAGGTAAAGAAAATGATGACTCTTGAGTTTCTAGTTTGAGCAACTGGATAAATGGTAATGCTGTTAATTGAGAATAGGGCATTAGCAGGTTTTTTGGTATCTTCCTTTGGTCTTTGTCGACGACATAGTAAAACTGTTGTCTAAGAACCAGTTTATGTCTATCATGTTGATTCTTTGAATCATTCAGCACATCCACTGCTATTTACTATTGCAGGCCAGCATCGTCCTTCCTTGCCATATGTATGTTGTTGTTGTTACTTGCTGTCAGGTCGACGCATGATGACTCCATGTATGCAGAGTAGAACTGCCGCATAGGGTTTTCAAGGCTGTGACTTCGGAAGCAGATCACTAGGCCTGTCTTCCAAGGCACCTCTGGGTGGGTTTGAACCACCCATCTTTCAGTTAGCAGTCCAGTGCTTAGCCATTTGTGCCACCCAGGGACTCCACTCTACGTATCCCATTGCCTTCGAGTCGATTCCGACTTATAACAACCCTATAGGATAGAGGAGAACTGCCGTGTAGGGTTTCCAAGGCTGTAAATTTTTACAGAAGCAGACTGCCACGTCTTTCTCCCACAGAGCAACTGGTGGGTTTGAACTGCTGACCTTTTGGTTAGCAGCCACGTGCTTAACCACTGTGCAACCAGGGCTTCTTATTCTGTGTATCGACTTTGAAAATTAAGTCAGATCATGTCGTTCTTTAAAACTCTCCAGTGGCTTTTCTCATTCTGAGTAAAGCTACTAACCACTTGCTGTCAGGTTAACTCCGACTCATGGCGATCCCATGTGTGTCATATTGAACTGTGCTCCACAGGATTTTCAATGGGGGATTTTCTGTAAGTAGATCACCAGGCCTTTCTTCCAAGGTGCCTCTGGGTGGACTTGAACCTCCAGCTTTTCAGTTAGCAGCTGAGTGCATAAACCGTTGACACCACCCAGAGACAGTGATTAAAGCTAAAGCCCTTATAATGGCCTGCAAAGTTCTGTATAATCAGGCCCTCCCCAAGTCCTACCATATCCCCACCATTTGAGACCTCATCTCTTAACATTTTCTTCTTTTTTCTCCACTGCAGTGACAGTGGCCCCCTTACTTTCTCAGACTCATCAAATGTCCTTTTGTCTCAGAGCATTTGTATTTGCATTCTTACCATCTAAATTCCCACAGGGTAAGCTTAATCATTTTCTTCAAGTCTCTTCACTGACCATCTCATGTATAAAACAGCACTTCCTCTCCCTGCCTGGTCACCCTCCATACCTCTTATTCTGCTTTATAGTTGTTTGTATCACTAATCACCCTCTGGCATATATATTTATTTTATTTTTGTTTAATGTCTTTCCCTTTATTAGAATGTAAGTTTCCATGAAAAAAAAATAGTATGTAAGCTCCCATTCATTGTACCCATACCACCTAGCAAAATGCTTGGCTCACAGAAGGTGCTCAATAAATATTTAGTGAATGATGTCTCTTGGTCCATTAAAAGTTTAAAAAAATAAAGAACAGAATAATTTATCATTTGGCAAATATATTGATGTGCTAACAACTCTCAGCCTTCTAGTGTTATCTACCAATAAAAGTGACTTTCCTTTATATTGACAAGATTTATTTTTGTTTTTAATTATTTGAAAGTTTCAGTCCTTCATTTACTCATTGTATTTATTGAGCATCTTTTGTGAGTACAGCCCCTGCACTCTGCAATTGAATGAAGAATAAAGAATAAATAAGGGATGTGGTTCTTTCATTTTAGAGACCTCTAAAATTAATATTCAAGACTTTTCTTTTGAACATAAAAATTTTAAACGTATTTGAGATAATGTGAATTTCTATTGCCAAAAGTTGAGATAAAGCATTTAATCTTTATGTATGTATATAGCTTAAGAAAAGTTCCTATATTATCAGTATTGCCAAGTGTAAGACATGCCATTATGATTTTTATGTATAGTTAATTACTAAGACAAAATGTATAATAATAAACATAACCTTTTCTGAACAGTAAAATGACAGTTAGTGGTACTATATTTTTAAGAGAAATATTTTAACTGCATAATTGCTTTCCAAAATTGTGCCATTTCACTATGGTAAGAAAAGAAAACCTATGCTTTATTTAAATGAAACTCAGCTGAGTTCTCTTTTGAACTCCCACAGGCAGCTTTGGATATGTTAAATCCTCAAGTTGCTCTGCCTGTTTTATACCCAAATCTTAAACAGGGTGGCGTGTGCGCTGTGTATCTAGCAAAGTGAGTAATATAGTTGTTTTTCTTTGTAATGTGATTTTTAAACACACTTTTATTTAGTCTAAGTGCCAAACTAAAATTTTCATCTTGTAACTGAGTAGGGTGTATATGTCATAGTAAAACTGTTATAAAATGACACGTCCCAAATTCAGTTATCCAAACCCACTGCCGTTGAGTCGATTCTGACTCATAGCGACCCTATAGGACAGAGTAGAACTGCCCCATAGGGCTTCCAAGGCTGTAATCTTTACAGAAGCAGACTGCCACATCTTTCTCCCACAGAGTGGCTGGTGGGTTTGAACTGCGGACCTCTGTTAGCAGCCAAGCACTTAACCACTGTGCCACCAGGGCTCCTTAATTCAGTTATACTGCTGTTTAAATCATCCTTTACATAAATGATAATATAAGATGCATATTTCTTCCTAGAATTTGGAAGAAAAGTTTTAAAGTGTAATATGAACAGTAATGTTAAATTGTGGTCTTTAATTTTCTACTTTGTATTCTGTGAAGTTGCTTATGTGCCCTGTTTTTCATTTTCACTTTTCTCACCCTTGATTTAATTATAGCATTTCAGTTTGGGTAAGAGGTATAATGAACTTGAAGTTATTACTTTAGTATAAACTTAAGTGTATCTTTCCCTTTTCTGAAAGCATCACACAGGTTATTGAACTTTTAAATGGAATCCACATCTGTGAACTTGCTCTCTCATGTGAAAAGATAAGTGAAGTCATTGTCAGAGATTGGTTGGTTTGCCTGGCAAAACAGAACAGAATTTTATATCGAAAAGTAGAACCTAAAATCAACACAGATTTACAATTACATTCTCAAAAGAAAATTGGAGTTGAAAGTGAGATATTTCAAGAGGATGACCATGGTGAGTTTCAGTTTTATGTTATGCATGTATTTGCAGTAAAAAATGGAGAATGGGTGTTTTGACCAATACATTTTAAAAATATTCCCTTGAAATGTAGTATTTATTCTGTTATATTAAAATGTGTAAGGGACAAAATAATGACTTTTCCTGCCTTTTATGTAAACTGATACCTCTGAAGAACTGAGCTTCTTATAATATTCATATTTTACTTGTTTCTAAGGAGGAGCTTAGATTGTTAAACACTTTAAATATTCTAAGGAATGTTTTAATTTAGATCAGTGAGTATTACTAAGGAAATGAATTTAATAGGACCTAATATGCAAACAGCTAATATTCCAAAAAACAACTTCTAAGATATTGCTGGAATTCTTCAAAGAACTAAATTTATGTCTTTGTATGTACACATTATCTAGGCCATGAACAAGTTTTCAGATAGCCATTGATTTATGATATGGACTTATCTCTTTGATTATATTTATGTATAATTTTATTATGTAACATTAACAAATTGTTTATGTAAGATAACTGGCAGAGTAGCTCCAAAACAAATGCTGGAAAAAGATGGGAGAAAAAACTGACAGTAGAGGCAGTAGTTTGTATTTTAACAGTTTTTGTGAACAAATTATAAAAATTTTATTTAGTTTACAGTATATATTTTATTTTATACCAGAAGAATCACATTCTGATTTTCCATATGGATCATTTCCCTATATTGCTAGACCTATACATTGGCAAACTGGTCACACAGGTGAGTAATGTTTTCAAGCATTATTAAATGATGTTTTTCTTCTAATTATTGTATTGACCTTACTTTTTCCCTTCTTAAATTAGCTTTTCTTGTTAAGTTGAGGAAGTTCAAACCACAACTTAACTGAATACTCCAGATGACAGCAACTGAATTGAAGACTGGAAAGTACCAAAATAGAACTTTATGTTGCAAATCACTACTTTCATAAATTGGTATTTTTAGCTATTACTATCATTTGTATAACTTTTACATATTACTTTGAAAACTAACCAAAGCTAAATAAAGATGTATGACATTGCAAAATTGCTTAAATGTCCCATTTTGACACTTGTCTTGCAGTTAGTTTGACATTTTGCAGTTACTGATTCCAAGTTTAGTTGAACCATCTCACTCTTCACTTCCTGTAAACCACTCCATGGATTTGTCTTTCTCCATGAAATTAGTTTTCTTTTCTTTGTTTGATTGATGATCATTGACTACTGAAAATAAAATATGCATTTTAAGATAAATTTTATGTATCTGTGTATTTTAAATACATATTTTATTGACATGTATATATATTAAAAAGTAACAGTGAAATCTAGGTTATAGTAAAAAGTAGGGGGAAAGTGAGAAATAATGGATTAATCACCTTAAGAGCTGTAACAAAAGATGTAAAAATTCTTGAATCTCTTTTACCCCTCTCAGAATCTTTTTAACCAGCTTGGAAAAACATCAGAATTGTTTAGTGTTATTATATAAATCAAATGTTTGGGGATATGTACTTCATAAACAAGAATTAATTAGGAATAGGGTTTATTATTCACAGGCGCTAGTTTTGAGCATTTACCATAAACCATACATTGTTTTAAGAACTTTATATATGTTATTTCATTTAATATGCACAGCTTCTCTTTAAGGTTTTCCATATTTTATAAATAAGCAAACAGGCTTAGAGTGGCTAAGTTGTTTACATACAAATGTGTTAACAGGTTTTAAAGTAGTAGGGCCTGGGAGGATAAATGCTGCTATTCTTGGATTTATTCCTTAGGCTAGAATTATTTTAAATAATATGTCTTCTAAAAACAGTTTACTTATTTCTCAGAATGTGGAAAATTTTCAGCTAAAACCCCTGCCTTTATAGACTTTACTGTTTATGGTAGAGCTAGACATTAAATAATCACAAATATAAAACTAAAACTGTTTTAAGTGTTCAAAAGAAGTACAGGGTATTATGAGTGGCTATATAGGGGTTTTGCTCTAGTCAAGTAATTACCCAGGCAAGTGACAACTGAACTGAGACCTGAATGACAAGTAGGAGTTGACTGCAGCAGGGAAAATGAAGGGGAAAGGCCAGGGATGCTGGGGCTGAGTGAAAGAGGCGGACTGCAGAAGGGAGGCTGGAAAGACAGGTAGGGGCCAGGCTATGCAGGATCTTGTAGGCCTGTTAAGGAGTTTGCCTATTCTAAGAAAAATGGGGTACCACTGAAGGATTTAATTAAGTAAAGGTAACAGATTTGTGTTGAAAAAAATCACTCTAGCTGCAGCTGGAGAACTGACTGAATTGGAGCAAGAGTATTCTTCTGGTGTCGTATTTCTATATCACTATCTGAACATTCATTCAATAGTAATAATGCCTTTATAGTTTTTGTAACATTTTCAGATATATAGAAGCTCTGAAGTACATTTTTAAGTTCTATCAAGGAATACTCCCCCTTCTGCTCTTCTGTTTAACTAGTAGCAAAATTCTGCCATTCATTCATTGTTTTGAATGCCTGTTATATGCCAGACCCTAATGGTACTACTTGGAGAAGGGGCTGGCTTAAGAGCAAAGAAAACTTCTGCCCTTCACTCCTATTTCATGTAGAATACTTAAGTTTCTGTTCAGCATACTGTGCTCAGTAGTTGACGAATTGAACAAGAGCTTTCCAGCAACAGCTGTTGACCTCTTTGGTCAGGTATTGAAGACCAAATTACATAAGCATTTATCTGTATAGTTAATCAAAGCCCACCGTAAGCCCTTTCTCCACTCCTCTGAACACTAAGCATGTTTACAGTCTGGCTTATGGGACAGATACCTTCTTCTAATGTTAGCTTTCTATGTCCATGTCTGGCTCTCATCACCATATTGTGAACTCCTAGAGGTTTGGGACTGGCTCACATCTTCCCAATACCTTCCAGAGGCCCCACTTTTCCATGCAGTAAATGGTTAACAAAAGTTTGCTGATGGCTTTAAGCCTACACTGGCTAATATACTGTTGCATATATTACTTCCTCTGAAAAGCCTTCATCAAGTCTCCCACCCCCCAGAATTCATTCTGCAGTCATTTGTGCTTCTGGATGTTGATCATATAATTAATCTAAAACTAACCAGCTGCCATCAAGTCAGCCCTGACCCATGGTGACTCCATCTGTGTCAGAGTACAACTGTGCTCCATAGGGTTTTCAATAGCTAATTTTTCTGAAGTAGATCACCAGCCTTTCTTCTGAGTATATAATTAGCATAACCCTTATCACATTATTAATTTATACACCCTGATTTTGCCTTCATTAAGTATAAGGATTTCTAACCTGGATGACTAGAACAGTGGTGATGACAAAAATAAGAAAGTTCAGAAAAGGATTTATTTTTGAGGAAAAAAATCTTTACTTTTAGACTGTAACAGATGGAATGACCCATGCCTGCCTATATGATCCAGGGCTGCTGTTGTTGTTGGTAGGTGCTGTCGAGTTTGTTCTGACTTATAGCGACCCTGTGTTCAACAGAACGAAACACTGCCCAGTCCTGCGCCATCCTCACAATCGTTGCTATGTTTGAGCCCAGTGTTGCAGCCACTGCGTCAAGCCATCTCATTGAGGGTGTTCTTTTTCGCTGTCCCAGGGCTAAGGCCTGGTATATGCCTCCCCATCCTTGCCTTCACTCTAAAATTGGAGAGGTCCTTATATAATACATAGTAATAAATACCCGTGTCTCAAATGAACTAGCCTGAGCCTCGCCCTAGGTCATAAGGCTCAAGACAACATAAGGTAAGGAGAAACAATGGTAGTTTAGTTAGTATACAAATGTGCTGTGTATTCAAATAAAATTGGGTTCCCATCTTGCTGTTTTTGTTGTTGCTGCCACTGTTGGTTTACCTGGTAACTGTAACTTTTCTGAGTTTCTTTCTTCATCAGTAAAGTGAGTATCATAATGCCATCTCACAGATTTCTTGGGGGTTGGGGAGTCAGGTGTTTAAACTTTCATAAAGTGCCTAGTGCACGACTGGTGATTTTGATGTATATGAATTTGTAAAGAAGGCCTCATCTACTCCCCCAAAAATGTTTTAACCCCACCTTGTCAAAGTGAAAAACATTTTGTTCGTAATAAATGTCATAAACATGTTTTTGTAAAAACTTGTTTTTTGAACATGTTGCTTTTGAGAAAAAAATCTTTTTAAAGTAGAAAAAAAAAAGTTTTTACCTGAAAAGGGTGAAGCTGCTTGCTTGTGTTTGAAAGAAAGCCTGTGGAAGCATCTGTGAACCATCTGTGCTAAATTTTAGTATAAAAACCTGGAGAAGAGTATCCACTCTCCATGTCTGAGTTGGGTTTTCTGCAACCACATACCAGTTCCCGTCTAGTCAGAATTGACTCATGGCGACCCTATGTGTGTCAGAGCAGAACTCCACAGAGTTTTCAATGGCTGATTTTTTGAAAATATATCATCAGGACTTTCTTCTGAGGTGCCTCTGGATGGACTCGAACCACCAAACTTCTAGTTAGTAGCTAGGCACATTAACTGTACCACCCACGGACTCTGCAACCACATACTATCAGGCAATTTCAGCCACCTCATGTGGACTGGAGAAGGAAAAATTTGCTAGCAGAGGTCACTGATGCATCTACTGGGAAACTGCAGTTGCCAAGGCAGTGAGAGACTGACCACCATGCCTATCACCTTTGCACCCCTTGCCCCCTCCCCTCTCATAAACTCACTCCCTGCTAAGTTTATTTAAGGAAAATGAATGCAAATGTACTGGCCAAGTGTGTGTGTGCCATCAGTAACAGGGTTTTTAATTTAACCTTGAGTAAATACACAGAATAAAGCAGTGATGAATGAATAGTTGTTCCTTCCAATATGTTGTTGTTAGGTGCGTTCGAGTTGCTTCCAACTCATAGCGAACCTATGTACAATAGAACTAAACACTGCATGGTCCTGTGCCATTCTCACAACTGTTGTTCTGTTCGAGCCCATTGTTGCAGCCAATGTGTCAGTCCATCTCGTTGAGGGTCTTCCTCTTTTTCACTGACCCTCTACCAAGCATGATGTCCTTCAAGGACTAGACCCTCCTGATAACATGTCCAAAGTACGTGAGATGAAAGTCTGGCCATCCTTGCTTCTAAGGAGCATTCTGGCTGTACTTTTTCCAAGACAGATTTGTTTGTTCTTCTGCCCCCCCAAAAAAACAAACCCGCTGCCATCAAGTCGATTCCAACTCATAGCGACCCTATAGGACAGAGCAGAACTGCCCTAAAGAGTTTCCAAGGAACACCTGGTGGATTCAAACTGCCAACGTTTTGGTTAGCAGCCGTAGCTCTCTTAACCACTATGCCACCAGGGTTTCTGTTCTTCTGGCATTCCATGGTATATTCAGTATTCTTCGCCAACACCATAATTCAAAGGCATCAATTCTTCTTCAGTCGCCTTATTCACTGTCCAGCTTTCGCATGCATATGAGGCTACCGAAAATACCATGGCTTGGATCAGGCGCAACTTTTTTTTTTAAATTGTACTTTAGGTGGTTTACAGAACAAATAGTTTCTCATTAAACAGTTAGTACACATACTGTTTTATGACATTGGTAAACAACCCCACGACATGTCAACACTCTCCCTTCTTGACCTTGGGTTCCCTATTACCAGCTTTCTTGTCCCCTCCTGCCTTCTAGTCCTTGTCCCTGGGCTGTTGTGCCCCATTAGTTTCGTTTTGTTTTACGAGGCTGTCTAATCTTCAGCTGAATGGTGAACCTCGGGAGTGACTTCATTACTGAGCTAGGGGTGTCGGGGGGCCATACTCTCAGGGTTTCTCCAGTCTCTGTCAGGCAAGTAAGTCTGGTCTTTTTTTGTAAGTTAGAATTTCGTTCTACATTTTTCTCCAGCTCTGTCTGGGACCCTTTGTTATGATCCCTGTCAGAACAGTCAGGGGTGGCAGCCAGGCACTATCTAGTTGTACTGGACTCAGTCTGGTAGAGGCCAGTCTGGTAGTTGCGGTCTGGATCAGGCGCATCTTAGTCCTAAAAGTGACATCTTTGCTTTTTAACACCTTAAAGAGGTATTTTTGCAGCAGATTTGCTCAATGCAATACATCATTTGATTTCTTGACTGCTGCTTCCATGGGCATTGATAAAATGAAGTCATTTCACTTGAACCCTTCCTATACAGGACCTGTGAATCTAAACCTGAGTCCAGGGCTTTCATCCAGGGACAGGATGAAAGCATACAGCTCCTTACTCCCTAGATGTACTCACATCTTCTGTTGAGATGTCAAGGCCTACAGTATACTCTCTCGACATCTACAGGGGTTGGTCTGAATAATATATAATTGCTTCTGTTCTGCTTTTTGTAAATTCTTCAAATTGTCTGTTGTTGGAATTCTCTCCACCTCACTCTATATAGACTTTCACTGGGGACTTGGTTCTTAATGCTTTCACCACCAAAGGGAGGATTTTATCAAAGGGAGCAGTAGAGCACTGTAGTTATGAGTTCAGGCTCTACTCTAGAGTCAGACGGACCTGGGTTCAAATATAGCTCCATCACCTTGGGCAAATAACCTCTCTAAGCCTCAGTTTCTTCATCTGCAAAGTGGAAATAATAGTATTTAGGGTTGGTCATGAATATTAAATGAGATTATGAATGTAAAACCTTCTGACTAGACTGCAACTGGTATGTGGTTGCAGAAAACCCAGTTCAGACAGACAGCTGATGCTCTGCTCCAGGCTTTTATGCTAAAACTCAGCATAGATGATTATTGAGTGCCTCCACTTAGTACATTGCCTGAAACATTTTAAACACCCAGTAAATATTACCTATGATAAGGATCAAAGAGTGTAGGTAAAAGGACCTGGAGAAGGAGAGAAGCGGTGCTGAAAGGCAATTCTTATTTTATAATTTAGCCTATCGTAAACCCTACTTGCCTTCAAATATGAGTGAACCAATAAAAATTTTGCTTGGAGATGCTGAAAAGGAAGACTTACACGGTCACTCAAATCTCTTAAGTGACTACTATGGATAGGGAACAGAACAATAACTGATCCCTACATTCAAGAGTCTTACAGTCTAGTTAGTTTCTCTTTTAGTAAAACTTCAGTAACCACTGTTAATCTCATAGTAGTAAAAATAAATAGGCGAGAATCTGAAATAATGCAGGTCTGTTCATTTCTCATCATAGAACTAGAAAGGATCATAAGAAATCTGTCAGTCTTCATATGGGTGAAGATCATATGGGTGAAGATCTGGAAGAAAGGCTTTGTAAAAAGTAAAAAGGATCACTGCTAGTGGAATATTATCGTACTATTTCAAATTTAGAAGAGAAATGCCAGAAAAATGCTGTATCTTTATAAAAATACTTTTGGTGAAAATTATAGTGTGATTGACTAAAAGTATTTCCAGTGTATATGATTATTTTCTAATTAAAATACCAGTATAAAAAGCCACTTAAATCCCAACAAAAGTGAAATATGCAACTAAATTATGGTACATATATCATACCATGTCATGATTAAAAACCAGATTTTAAAAGATTATTTAATAGCATGAGGAAATGCTTTTTGAGTGAAAAAAAGCAGGCCTAGATATAGTATGGTTCTAATTTTGTTAAAAATAGAAAATAGAAACAAAGTATATAGAAGGAAACAATAATAGTTAACCAGTCAATAAGGCTGGATAATGAGATTACAAGTAAATTTATTTTCTTCTTGCAACCTCTTTTGAATAAAATAAACATTTCAAAGAAAATGGTTCAGGCTCTTAAAATACAGTTAAAATACTTGAGGCTTATAGTGTATTAAGTTTCATTTTTACATAAGTTACAATAAAAATCCTTTTAGGTAGGCTACCACTAAACAGGGATACAAGACAAAAAGTGACTACTGAAAGGGGGAAAACTTTCACTACTAATTTAACTCATATTGTTCTAGTATATAAATTATGTATCTCTGCCTGTAAGGACTCACTAGTGCCCAATAAATAACATGCATAAATCTAATTCTGATATATCACTAAATCATACCTTGAGAATAGCTATCAGCTTGAGAAGGATCAACTGCTTTGTCCATTGAGAATAAGTTGTGTGATTCCTGAGAATGTTTTTCCATCACTTCTGCTGTACCACTGGATGAAGATGATGATGAAGACAATCCCAGTCTAACATATCTTCCTTTTTTGCCACAGAGTGAACAATCTACTGGTGTGGCACTAGGGCCCCGGGGCAGTTGAACTTCCTCTCTGTTGTAGTTTCTCACAGCTCCACTGTGATGCACGGAGCGTTCTCGCTGCCATATATAATGGGTTGGTGCAATGGCCATAACCTATAGTGGAAAGCTTACTTTTAGAATTTTACAAAGATTTTATAATTTAGTAAAATTAAGAACAAACATTTTAACTCAAGAACAGCTACCTCTAAAACTGAGTTACCAATGTTAAAAATAATAATAATGTATTTCCAGATTAGGCAGTATTAACCATAAAGTGATCCATTGCTTGGATCCTTAAGACAATAATTGACAATGCATTTAAATTATTTCAAATAGGAGATAGGACTGAAGCAACCTTCCAGGTTGTCAGGGTATTTATTTTTCAATTCTCAATATTCTGAGTTCGGGAAAAATGAAGTTAACTCCAAACAATATATAATTCTTACCTTTGGAAGGTGCTGGGTTTTAAAAACAACTTTGAGGTTCTAACTATGTATGTTAGGCTAATCTTAAAATGTTTTCAATTATGGCAAGAGATATGGTAAATAAGAACACAGGTAAGTTACTTAACCTTTCTGTTCCTCAGTTTCCTCATTTGTAATATGGAGATAATAATAGTTTCCATCTTAGAGGGTTGTTGTGAGGACTGGATGAGGTATTATTCATAAAGCACTTACAGTCCTCACTTCATGTCAGGCATTATTCTATAAGGTTTGTTAAATCAAAAAAAATGGGCTTTGGAGTCAGGATAGAGTTTGCTTCTTATCCTGGCTCTGCCACTTGCTAGCTCTATGCTGGGAAAATTATTTAACCTTTCAGAGGTTCAGTTTCCACATACCTAAAATGAGGATACTATCTACATCACAGGACTGTTGGGAGGATTAGATGAAATGTGTATTAAGTCCTTATCACATAGCATCTAGCAAATACAAGCCATTTAAGAAGTGAGCAATATAGTCAGTCTGGGAAGTGTACCTATGTGCTGACCTCATGACTGAAGTCTAGAACTTCTAAGCATTCTAAGCAAAAATATTTAGTTGCATTTATCAACAACCCAAAGTAAATGAGAACTGTAGAATTTTAGAGCTAGATGGAGCCTTATTAATTACCTAGACTAGTGATATTCAAACTGTCTTGAGCCCTAAGGTTTCACAGAGGTATATTAGGGACCCGAGGAAGGACTAAGGAAAGATTGAGCAGGCAGAGCAGCTCAATATTTATCTATTCTATATGGGAACGTGTGTAAAATTTTGTTTGGAAAGAAAGGCTTTTGCAGTTAAAAAGAAAAAAACCTTAAAAACCCCAGATTTAGACCAGTCCCCTCAGAAAAAGGGGTTACTGTGTTCCCCCCGACCACCCGCATGAAGAATACTAGCTACGCTAATTTGAAAAGGAATAGTATATTTTAGGATTGAATTTATTTTATAATCCACTTCTTAAATCCTTCAAAAATTTTCAACCAAAGACATATAATAAAGTTACATAAATTTTAAAAGGTAGAAGCAAATAAAGACATTAACGACATTTCTATGACAATGTAAAACTAGGTTTAGAGCTTCTTAAGGTGAGCAAGTAGAATATTAGAATTTCTTATTCCTTCCATACTGATCTACTCATTTTCCTCAACACTTCTATATCTTTATTTCCCATGTCTTGAGTGTCCCCTCCCTTCATTTGTCTTAGTATTGCTTCAAGGCCTGGCACAAGTCCCAGCTTTCTAACAAGTCCAGCTTTCAGATTTTCTTGTCTCTTAGGGCTTTAAGCATATAACTGTCTAGTACGAGATATATCTTTTTATGTATGTCATCTATGTTAAGGAGCCCAAGTGGCACAGTGTTTAAGCACTCAGCTGCTAACTGGAAGATCGGCAGTTTGAACCCACCAGTCGCTCAGAGGGAGAAAGATGTGCAGTCTGCTTCTGTAAAGATTTACAGCTTGGAAACCCTCTAGGGAAGTTCTAATCTGTCCTATAGGGTCACTATGAGTCGGAATTGACTTGACGGCAACGGATTTAGTTTGGTTTTTGGTTCAATCTACTTTACTGAAAGCCCCCCCAGGGCAGGAATTGTCTCTCATACACCTCTGTACCAAATACTCTCCACACAGTATTATGCAATCAGTAAGTATTTTTTAGTGATACATGAAAATAAGAATTGGAGGCCACCTTAACTAACATGATTTTTGTAGGGATCCTACAGCAAAATTTAGCGAGAAGAGCAGGGGAAATAGGAAGCACACAAAATTCCAGGTTTGGTGAACTCAGGAATTCAGAAACCTGTTATTTCTGCAATAAGCTGGGCATCGTGGTCTTTCCACATACTTGACCAGCTAGCTTGAAAAATATACACACACTTGTTTATTTTTTAACATACAGTAAAATCTGCAAACGCCGGAACATACGTAAGGCAGAAACCTGTCAGAGAAGGAAAACTCAAATATTTTCCGCTAAAACCAGCAACAGAAAAGTGGTAAGACTGCACCTGTCAAAGGCAAAAAATTCACAAGACCTGGAAAAACAAGGCAGTCCCGTTAAGTTCTGGCTCTCACAGGTTTCACTGTATATTTTATTAACATATTTTATACTGATAAATATATAATAAGAATGTTATTGTGAAAACAACAGTGAATTACATAACTTTCTGGGCCACAGGGCATCTTTTTTATGAGAAAAACGAGGTCACTTTCAGTCCTCAAATTCTATGATTCTATGAAAGTGACTTCTCTGAAACACTGGTAGCAGCTGACCTACTAGAAATGTTACCCTCGTTTTTGCTTTATCTTACTCTTGTTATTTCCAGGTTTTTGCTGTTGTTGCCTTTGGTGGGTGTTCCTAAAATTTAATTCTTGACCCTCTGTTTTTCTCTATACACACTCTACCTCCCTGTCATCTCAAGAGACAGTGTAATGTAGGTGTTAACAGCACGGACTCTGGAGTCAGATGGCCTGGGTTTGAATACTGATGTGCTGCTTTTCTCCACTGGAATAGTCACCTAACTTCTCTATGCCTCAGTTTCCTCATCTGGGGTTACCTAGCTCTAAAAGTTGTTATGAGAGTTAATACTTAGAAGTGTCTGGTAAGTATTACCCAAAAAGTACTAGTATTACTTTGCAAGTTCAGAAAGTAATAGTATTACTTTTACCTTGGATCTCTTATCTACTAGGCTTGAAACATCACCCATATATAGACTCATCTTACCATGTGTTGACTGTTCATTTTTCAGTTATCACTTTAAATTCATTATGTCTAATACCAAATTCCTTATCTTCCCAATAAACGAGTTTCATTCTCTAGCCTTCCCTATTTCCATTATGAATCCATTATTCTCCTTGTTATATAGACCTTAAACTCTTGACAGCTCCCTCTCCCATATGTCCTATATCCAACTGGTCACCAAGTATTGACAAGTATAATTTTCTGACATTTCTAGCATTGATTTCTTTTTCTTCACCACTGCCATAAATGTAGTTTACACCCTTGCTTCCCTATATTGAGTCTCTTCTGCACACTGTCATTGGATTACCCTGTCCAAAACACTGCTTACGTCTCATCACTGCTTTCTAAATTCCTAATCTGGAATCAAGTAGTAGCTGTTGGAGAACTCAGCTCTGATGATTTGTGGGATCTAGGCCACAGAGAGTACATAACTGGAGTAAAGCTTCCTCTTGATTAAACAGCTACCCTCCATGATGCATGAGATTCTCTTTCTCATCAGATAGGCATCCTCCATAATCTGTAAACTAGGCTACAAATTAAGCCATTACAAACCTAAGTAAATTCCACCTCTGAGGAGCTGATGTCAAAAAAGGTAACTGATCATAAGAAAATAAGATCAGAATAGGGAGGGAAACAGTCTTTACTCTTTTCTGGAGAAGCCCTACATACTTTTCTAGCTTGATCATAACCCATCTCTTTCCAAAAAAGGATTTGAGATAGCTTACAAAAAGAGCAACTGCAAAAAAAAAAAAAAAAAAAATCATTAAACTAGGACCCCAAAGGGAAAATTGGGCTAAGGGGAGGTAAAAGCAGATATGCCAGCAATAAAGGGTTACAGCTGACCACTTGCCATCAAGTCGACTCTGGCTCATGGTGACCCCATGTGTGTCAAGAGTAGAATGTGCTCCACAGGGCTTCCTTGCAGTCAAGGTTAAAAAAAGAAGAGACAAATTACAAACTCATTATCTGAGAGAATATGTTCTTTTTTTGATAGTTGGGTATAATGGAAAGAGTGCTGAGTTTAATGACAATGACAAGTTACAACCTTTCTAAGCTAAAGTTTCTTCATCTGTGAAATGGAAAGAACACTTATGCTATTTACATCCCAAGATAAAATGATAATATACATTTTTAAACTAACAAATAATTAAAATATTTATGAACTTGGAAAGTACTATACCCAAAACTCACTGCTATCGGGTCAATTCTGACTCACAGCAGCCCTACAGACAGAATAGAACTGCCCCATAGGGTTTCCAAGGCTATAATCTTTATGGAAGCAGACTGCCATATCTTTCTACTGCAGAGTGGCTGATGGGTTCAAACTGCTGATCCTTTGGTTAGCAGCTGAGTACTTAACCACTGCGCCACCAGGCTCCTTAAAATACTATACAAATGTAAAATATTATTGTAAGCCAGTTTGAAGCTACTATCCTAACATGGGTTTATTTTAGGATACGGAACCAAACAAATGTGTGGCAATATGCCAGAACAGGGCTCTCAATAACCAATGCAAATAGAATGCTTGCCTAAATTTGTAACAGCATGTCTTGCTACTTTAGTGCAGCAAACTGCATCCCTTCAGCAACCTTCAGGAATGATGTAATACTTATTGATAATAAACTTGGTGTCTTACTCATAAATGAGCTGTTGACTGAATACTTAAGAGTACAGGATAAAATCTATGAGGTAATTGCCTTTTCTGTACACCAACATGATTCCAAGCCTTTCTGAAAAAGACATCTTTATTGCTCTAAAGGGTACCTGGTTGGAACAGCCAAAAACAAAGAAACAAAACAAAAAAGCAGCTTATCTATCTGCCACTGAAGTAAGTGGGGGGCGGTGGTGATAAGTGAGCTCAGCGAAGAATTGTTTTATAGTTTATTGTTTTTCTATTTCA